ATAATGGTCTACTTTTACTGCTAGAACTATCGAACATTTAATACGATTGATGTATAATCCCTATAAAAATTGTAGCAATGGATTATTTTTAGTTTTATCAGACATTCGTTATAGTATTTAAGTGAAACTATTTATTTCCAAGATTGTTTCGAATATTCAATGCTTTGAAGATGTCAATAATTGCGAAACAAAACAAACCGAAACCAGTTATTTTGATTGATACATACTTCTAGTTAAATTTCTAATTTCCAAAATCTATATGAACGAATATCAATTTCTCTAAAAGCAGTAGGGTACAATAAATGTCCGTAAATCTAGTGTTAATTGTATATAAAACTTTAAAGTTTATACATTGAAATTAAGAAAAATGTGTTGTAGAAACACGTGAAAAGATAACGATGATAAAGAAATATACGTTGAATAATCAATTCTTGGGTGTAATTGTTGCGTGGAAAGTATGTGAACAGATTTGTGAGTCACTATGTCTGTTGATTGGTTGTTACTTGAGGACAAAGATTCTTACAAACGAACACGAATTGCGCTACTCTGTGACAAGTTTCATATTTTTAGCAAAGAAAGTCAAGTTAATTTGTTCGTGGTTCTTTATACTGCTGAAAAATAAGTGAAATCGTCCATTTAGAACTCTTTAATTTATTATCGGACAGAGTCAAACATATTTTTGATTAAATGAGAAGATTAAAGAGTTATATTTACTATTTTACTGTCATTTATATTTTATTTAATACTAGAATAATTTAATAATAATTGCAACAATTTAATTATTAAGGTATGTGTGTCTCAGTGTTGTTACTGAAAAAGAAGATTCATTTGTAACCTATGAATTTTTTTAACCAAAAGTTTATCAATTCCGTTCAATAATAAACAATATTAATAAGTATTATACAATAAATTGTAGAAAAACTTGTGTTTATTTATGATTCAATTGTTGCCAAATAATATTCCGAACGATAATACTATTTTATAAATACGAACGCCGCTGCGGTACACTTAAACGGGAGATTTCAACGCGTGGCGAAGAGAGACTTCAACGCGTGGCGAAGAGAGACTTCAACGCGTGGTAAAGAGAGACTTTAACGCGTGGGGCAGAGATTTCAACGCGTGGAATAGCAGCATGCGCTTGCATACTGGTTCGAAGCGTAACGTTTCAGGACACTTTTATATAATTACTACACGAAATATTAAAAAGCTATAATATTAATTTCATTTATTAATAAATATTTGATCTTGATAATACAAAGCCGCTCTATAGTTGTTTTCAATAAAAAATGTATACTGTATCAATTTTATTTTCTACACCTACAAATAGTTCCATTTCTTTGTTTTCCATTTCCATCGTCAGATCATTCCGTTGTTACAATAGAAATCTGTGGCTAAAAAGAACTTATGTTGACGAGCAATAGGATATATGGTATTACGCATATACAATAATTTGCATTTCTGTCGACAGTCAATCACGTGTATTTTCCCGTAAGAAAATGTGTGTTACATTAACACGGTAACTATTGACGCGAGATATAACTCGCGATTAGTGAACCGCATCATTCTGATCTAATTTGTGATGCATTCTACCGAAGACACATTAACACGCAATAAAGCTAAATGAGTTTAAGTATCTGCTATGTAATTTTCTTTAAAGAGGCTTCGAGAATGTTTAGCGAAGACTCTATTTTCCACTTGATACACGCATTACACGCGATACATTGATGAATTCAAGAATTAAATATAAACTAAGCATTTGCAATTCCATATGAAAATTTTAGACGAAACTGCAAATTAACGCCTTGTCCTATGATTTCTTTCGCTACAGCGTTTGATAAAACCTCTTTATTGTTAATAATTCACTAGAAAAAAAGGGAATTTGCTACATATGATATGTCCACATCTAATCCCAGGTTTAAAGATTGATAATAGAAAATTAATATTTCATTTCAATTTTAAAAAGGTAAATAGCAGTTAGATTCGTTGAATTCAGTTTCAAATTTTCATCATGAGTCTGACACGATATTATAGAGCAGGGAGCAAAGAAGAATTCAATTCCGAATCATTTTCATTCATTAAGAATGAAATATTGATTACTTCAATATTAAATGAAATCAGCTAGGTTGATTTACTCGGGAACAAGGTAATTATCGTTTAAAGGAAAATATTATTTCACCTTTTCTTGTAGCACGGCTATCGTTCGACTTACGCCACGAGTTGCGAGATACACCCTACAGAATGATTACGTAACAGAACCCAAAATAAGCTACCAGTTCGTAGCATTTCCCTTGTTGAAGGAAACGCAGCGAACCGGGTCGAGTTTGAAAAATGCAAGTGAACTTTACCAGTTTGGATATAAACAGGCGAGCGTATCCGACGTTGCTTTAAGTACTATGGACGCATATATGCGTCTAGCGAAAGTTACCACTATGGACTATGAACGCGTATGTGTTTTTCGATCTTTTTTATCTAACATGTGTCGTATCGACAATTATAAGTGTAAGACATTAATATACGCGTTTCTTAACGTTATTTAATTTAGTGAAACTGAGGAATTACGATTATAATTTAATTGCAATTTACTTAATTGTATGAATTACCATACTTCATCGATCTTTAGACGACAAGCTAAGCAAAAAAATATTCCGTCCACACGGAACGTTTCGGCTGGGGGTAATCAACACTCAAAGGGTTAAAAAGAATTCAATCGTGCATGAAGCAACAGGATCTACAGAACCTTCGCGCGATCAACGAATTCAGGCAGCGTACTTTCCGCCTTAAAAGTGTGCGTGTAACGGTCGTGACGTGGTTATATTTCAAGGCACGGCCCGAGATTCCGCAAACGTTTCGACGCAAGTGGTCGAATCTTATTTGCGGAGAAATATTTTAACAAACATTCGACTTTATGTTAAGATATTAAGATTATATTAACCGTTTGCGTTCGAAAAGCACCTCTCAGTCGCCATCCAATTTGACGCAGCGAAATTATAAAATTTTAAATTCAATATTTTAAATTTTGTGTAGCGGATCGACATATGAAACATCGTAATAAAGACCTGTACTTGATTTAAAACAACAAATTAATAAAAAAATATCTTTCTTTAATCATGAAATATACATTTAATGGATGAGGGAAATGAGATTTCATTGCATTTTTCGGAATTTTAAATTCATTTAACTGGAATTGCTTATCTACTTTATTATAATATGTATAGTATGTATTTACTTGCAAAACTCTGTAACTCTAAAATCAAAGTATAAGAGAATCTTGTTACATCGTTTTGATTTCTTTTGTTTTAAAGTAGAGTAATTTTAATAGATTACACATTGTTAAGCATTTGTAATTGAAAAGTCGATTAATAGACTTGCGGTAGAAAAAATGTTAAGTTTGTTAATTTACTACTCTTAAGTTGCATGTGTTAATTTTAATTGCATAAAAGGCGAACGTTATTTGTTACCAAAAGAATAAGTTTATTGGAAACTGTGTAGTAACATGTGAGAATAAAATGCGATTATTTTGCGTAGACAGTATAATTACTTGAATATTGACAGCGACTGATAACAGCCGAGCAACGAGCATTAAAAAGAGAATCACGAGGCGAGTGAAAATTATTCGCTTCCTTCTCGATACGAAAGTTTCATCGATTTCCACGTTGCACGCACGACCACGAAAGTGGAGCCTACTTTTTCCAATCGAAAGCTAGGAAAAGCCGGACACCCGCGTAATTATTCTCGGTAACACCTTCGAAACTGTCGTTGGCACGTGGTTACTCTATCATTTCCCCGTAATTAATCAACACTGGAACCACCTTCTTACATAAATTGTAACAGTGCATTTATCTAGATTTTAAATTAACTTACACCTTCGAATGTAAATCAACTGATGTAACAATTTCTTAAAAAACGCATCTCCGTCCCTTTAATAATCGTAATTAAATAAAACAGAAATTCCAAATGGATCATTTCGATCTATCCGATAGTTGAAAAATATATAGCGCTTATACAAGATTATTGAAGTAGCCATTTCCCCCGGAATTACTTTATCTAGAATGAAAAGTAAATGAAAGGTAAAAAAATATATTATATAAAATAAATAATTACTTCAACGCTGTTTCGTCAAATTCGCAAAGAATTGGAACAGTTCGAAATTGAATGATTATTCAACGCGATCGCGTCACTGAATGGAACGCGGCGTGCACGTTGGACGCATTGTTTTTGTCCAAATTTTCCACGAGGATGGGAGAACGAAATACATAATTTCCCTTTCGAACAAACGGCCGTTACCAAACACGGGGGAACAATGCTGGAAAGTGTCTTCGCTTTCCTTCGGAGACGCCATCGGGACAGTTTCTCACAAAACGCGTGTGTTCCTCGAACTATAAAGCAACTTGGTCGCATGCTAAGCAATAAGCACGTAGACCGTGAACGCTTATGTAAATTTCCACTAAATGGAGACTACTGTCTCTAAAAAAATTGTGTATTCATTAGTACATATTCATTAGACAATGGATTTTATGCATTTATGACAAATATGTAAGCATGGAGTGTAAAATGGAGGAACATTTATCTTCAACTTGTTAAAAATTTTGGGGAAAAATCAGATTTATAGTTCGAGAAATTTTCTGCGGTCGGATTCACATCTTTCTCTTAGTTTACCAGCTTTCACCCTTAGTTTACTTTCACTGATTACCGTTCAAATTTTTTGAAAAATTACAATTTTTTATTATTAACACGTTGACCGCCACGAAAATTTTGAACGTTTTGTATAGTATCCCCAATTCCTTTATAACAAAGGAAAATAGCGTTAAAATTAGTTTTTAACAGTTTAATAATCATAGTCCTGAAGGTGCACGATAATTTCATTAGTTGTGCTTTTCAAGCAATGTGGAGGCTCTGGTCAGCGGTGCCTACCGTGGCGGCCAACGTATTAATTTGTTTTTTAACGTTTATTCTAACTATTGCCGTTAGAATAAAATTGACGTTGTTTTTGTCTTTTGAAGGAACAGCCGAATCTTGGGATAGGTTTTCGCGTTTAATTCCCACGAATTCGGTGTACGGACAAGAGGAGAAAAATGTCTCCCCCACCGGAAGCCCGGCAGAGCCATTTTTACGCTCCTTGGACGAAAACAATGTCATGGAGACGTCAAAGACGAACGAGAAAAACAATGGCCACGAAGGTGTAGAGGAGGAGGAAGCTTACGAGGACGAGTACGAGACTGAATCGGACCCAAAAACGGTTTCCGAGAAATCTAAGTCCTCAAAAATCACCGATAACACGGCAACACGTAAGCACGAGTCGTCCCCCGCTTTGTCTTCGAAAGCCGAGGACACATCCAGGGATGAGGATTATATCGAAGACCCGTCGACAAGCCAATACGACGCGTACTATTACTACGACGATTACGAAAGCAATAATAGATCGCGATACGAACCTGTAGGTAAGATTAATGAAGCTTCGAGCAATTATTGGATGTGCCAATCAGTAATTTTCTGTTACCTTAAATAGAAAGTCTAATTTCTATGTAACGCTAAAATTACTGAACGATTGGAATTACTTATTTGTAATTTTTCATAAAAATTCGAAGAATACGTTTCTTTTGATTCGAAGGATTTCCTTGATTTATATTTGTACAAGTACAAAAATTTAATAAAAAATCCTTCGTAAAAACGGTTTCATAATTTAAATACTTGCAAAATAAAAATTCTAAAGTGCGTGTAATTTCATCAAAGTTCACTTTTTTGTGAATTAATGATTATGGCAAATGGATTACTCAATGAAACGGGTTTACACAGTGAAATTAACTTGATACCAATCAAAAATGGAATTAAAAAACCACGAAAATTTATTAGCCGTGACAATATCGTGAGATCAGAGTTCGACAACGTGAACCACATTTAGCCCACATTTTTCTTCTGACGTAACGCGACAATATCATACAATTATCTTTCTAAACGTAAACCACCTTATGTAACTTCGTTTCGTCACACGTCGCTTGGAGAACGGTGCGCGCTCCGCGTAAAGCGACACATAAGGAACTTACTGTTATTAAAAAATCTTTCTTCGAATAAATTTTAAACGTTCTTATACTACTCCATTTTAATCGAAAATTTAATAGGATAATTCATAGATTCAATTCATAGATTAGGATAATTCACAGAATTACAATTACAATTGATTTTTTAATTTGTAATTTCAATTGTCATTCTGTAAAAAAATAATCAAAGTTTATTTAGAAATCAAATTTAGACTTCCCGTTCTCTTAGTTCTCACTTAAATACGTTTCAAAGCAAATACGATCATCTCCCCCAGAATTACCCTATATCTCAAGAAAAAGTTTCCGAATCTACGTTTACATAAATAATCTCTTCTCATCCTCACGGATACTAGGTAGTAAAGTTTAGCCATCTATTTACCTAAAGCATACCCTAATGAACTCAAAGTGATTCTCAAATAGGGATTCACATAGGAAAAATTAATTCGATTTTTCAGCGAGTGCCGACAATCTCGACTATCCTGACGCTGAGGAAGAAGAGAGAGAAGAGCAGGAAACCAAGGAAAAGCAGAAAGACGAACTTGCTAAAAGGCCAGCGAGTATTAAGCACGATTCTTCAGAAAATGAAGAGGACGAAGAACCTGTTCATAAACCGATCGTGAACGATACTTCCTCGGATCTTATCGAAGAGAAGGATCTAGATACATTAGTCTCATTAACGAATGCTGAAGAAGGTTCCTCGATGGAGGGCAGCCATAAAACCTTCTCATTCATTGGACCACCCGGTATGAGGACAAACGTATCAGCTGATAGTTCCATTCTGATCGGCGAAGCAGTGGTGTCCGTGGTGACGACGAAGAGCGTGGTGAACGGCACAATATCCGTTCCAACGACGTCTCCTCCGACCACCATAGAACAGGTACCTAAATGATCTTCCTATTCTCTGAAATATTCTCTTCTAGATAATTTCGCAGCGAAAATAAGAAATATTGATTAACTTTATACGCACTGTTAGGGTATCATACTTTGTATTAAACAATTTTCTATTCAATCTGACAATGAGTAGAATTGGGAAGAAATTAATTTTTGTCCCTACGATGTATTTCTCAACCATGATCGATACAGCTACTTTATCATCAATAATTTACAGTACGACCCCTGTAATGTCATTAAAAGATCGTCGAAAATAACTATGACAGTGAGATTTTCCATAAGACATTGATACAAGACACGAACCAACTTAATACAAGTTGGACCAGTATTCAAAAGGGGAACTTCAAATTCGTAAAACAAAACCTTGTGACACGGAATATTTTAGTCGCGTTATCTGCTCTATTGAGAAAAAGAAAAAAACTTTAAACTAATTTGAATTTAAAAGAATCCAGTAGCATTTATGCTTGTTAAGTTCTATTGAAAATCGTCACCACAAGTTTAACATGTTATTGTAAGACAAGGGGTTAAGGAATACTTTTAATACTTAACATTTCATAGAAAATACCAAGGGTTACATGTTATTTTCGTTTAACCAGAGTTTATAAAATTGTTGTGACTATTGGCAACTTGAAACAAACGATTTTGAAATGAAACGAGCAAAACCGTGGGACAGGTCGCTGCGCCGCCGTCGCCCTCGACCACAGAGGAGCCAGAGACGACTGTTACGACGGAGGACACGTCTAGGATCTTGGCATCAGTCCAGACCAGTCGCAGCATATCCGGAGCCAGGTTCCTACCGTTCCCTGTCATTGATCGCATCGAGCCGATCAGTCCGAATGGCGAGAAAAAAACCTCGCCGCCCCCAGAATCCACAGAAAGTATCATCGACAAGCTGGACAGGGTGCAATCGGAACTGTCCAGTGGCATCCTGGTTGGTGGATTCCGAAATACCGGCAATTCTCTACAACTGGACGTTCTGCCTGATAGGGACAAGGGCAATAGAAGAAGATTCACTACCACCACCATAAAGACGCCGGTCATCAGCAAGTTTGTACCGAGACGTTACAACGATAAAAGGACAGACCATGGCTATGTCACGCCGAAACCGAAAATTGAGACTACGCTGGATAGCCTCGAAGGGCTTCTGCCACGTGATTATGTTGCGAAGAATTCTGGCACCACTTACGCACCTTTAAAAATCGGTTTTAGGTTGGTATACGTTTATTTCTTAACTTTTTGAATGCATAGTAGAGCATTTGTGGAATTGAAGATTTCGAACTGGTAGAAACAATTTGAAGTTTTTATCATGTTGAGTATGTAATTTCAATTCTAATTGAGATTCTAATTTCAACTGTAATTTTAATTTTAAACTCTAGTTTAAAGTTTAGTTCATTAAAAAATTCTTCATTGCCTTGCGACTATCTTGATCTCTTCAGTTTATCAAACTCTGATATTTATTCGGTAGTTTTACAAAAATGAATTAAATGAATCCAGGTGGCCCTCAAAGAGCACCACGACATCAGAAGCAACGACAACTCAACTCGCTTCTACCACAACTACCACGACGACCACTTCCGCTCCGACCACGAGAAAGACAAAGACGAACACGGCAGTACAAGACATCAGCGCCTTCCTGCCACCCGGTTACAAATTGAAAAAAGAGGAGGCAACCGCTACCGAGAGCTCCTTGTTAAGCGACATTTTATCCAAATCAAAGGTAGACATATCGTCTCTGTTGCCACCGGATTACAATAAGAAGAAGGACCAAACAAGCTCAACTGCGAGGAGCGTGACAGCGACAACGGAGAAACGCGCGGAGGCTTCGACGGAGAAATTGCCGGCGGACAAAACGATACAGGACTTGTTCGCGAAGTCCAAGTTCGACATATCGTCCCTGCTGCCGCGTGATTATGAACAAAAGAACACGAATCTCACGCCGGGACTGAAAGACGTTGAAAAACACGTTGACAATTCTACCAAGTCGTCCACGACGGAGTCCGCGTCATCCACGACCGCAAAATCTGGCGGTTTGAAAATTGTATTTCCCAGCAGACCAGGGGGACGAAAGCCTATTCATAAGATCACTACTCCGCAACCTCCTCGCGGCGAAGCTCCAGGCGCGGTTACACCGAAAATACAAAGAGGATGGCCAACCAGGTAAGTTAGATATTGCAATTGTTCTCGGTGGAGAATGTTAGGGAATAAACCTGAAACATTTATAATACAATTATATATTTCGCGGAAGAAATTTAATTTAATTTGAATTAGTTGCATTTTAGTTAAATCAACTAAATTCCATATGAATTAACTCAATTTTATTTTACTTGGATCAACTTAGTTTAATTTGAATTAACTTAGCTTCATTTAATTTGAATCAACTTAATTTCATTTAATTCAAAATTGAAATTACAGAGCTACCACAGAATTCACTGGTTGGCCTACTCCATCCACTACACCGATATCTATAGAAAAATTGCTAGAGGCTGCCCGGACAGCAACGATTTCGTCGATGAACGCGTCGCTGATACCAATAACCGAGGTAACATCGAGCACCTCAACTACGACTACAACGACCACGACTCCGAGGCCCACTACTCCAGGAATCTGCGAGCAAGACTGCGAAGTCGCGGGAACGATAAAGATAATTGGTAACACAACCTGGGTACCGGAATTACTTGATCGAAATACTCAGGAATGGCAGAATCTGGCTAACGAGATTGAGCAAGAGGTAATCGCAGTTGTTTAGTAGATATATATATATATATATAATTTAATTTTTATAGATTTTGAAACTCGAGCATCTTATTTTCTCTTCGCAGATGAACTTCATATTTTCCAAATCGTCCGTTTTAACGAAATGGTACAAGAAAGTGCGAATCGATTCATTCAGGTAAAATTTTATGAAAATTATCTTTTACTGGGAAAGAAAATCATGTTACAATTGAGTTGAGAGATCACTGAAATAATAAATTTTTTCTCTGAATAATGATCATCCAATGGTTACAGCAAGGGAAGTATATTAGTGGATTATTTCGTGGAATTAGCAAACCTGGAGGAAAAAATCAATACGCAAGAGTTAAAGGTTATTTTCCATGACTCATTGCGAACGTATAACACGAACAGGTGGAACGATACAAAAGTCAGAGATTCGATAAAATTGGGCTCATTCATAATTGATCCAAAATACACGGATTTCGTTGGTGTGTTATTCTATATATTTATTAATTTGAATTATTTAATTTTTAAAAATGTCATGTGTCAACGATTAATGATATGACTAATGAATATACCCTTCTCTTTAGTGATACCGAAATATACTACTCCTAAGTACATTGAGAAGGACGACAAATTGATACCACAATGGGCTATTGCTGTAATCGTAATCGGTGTTGGTGGATTACTTTTTATCATTATATTTGGTGTTTCCGTTGTAAGTAATTATCATGGCAGAAAATGTTATATAAATGTAATATAAATTACTGTATAATTAATTATAATAAGTATAATAGCAGATCATATATATGTTACCAATAATTTTTAGCTCTTAAATCGCCATAATGGTTCTAAGCTAAAACCATCCGTATCCGCGATCTATGAAGAGGAAGTAGCAAAAAATATATCGTCCCATAGATCCACTGACTATTCAAAACCAGTTCACACGATATGGACTGATCCTGATGTTTCTTGGAACGATAAGTCTTTTGAATCAACTTCCAATAAGGTAAAATCCCAAAATGTTTCCTATAGTTATCCTTCTATGTTATAAAATCTTTTTGCTTAAGACATAAAAAATAATTTATTTTTTATAATTGATCAATTTTGATAAATGTCGAATTGCGAAATACATAAATATAATACATTTTACTTTGTTTAAAGGTACTCGTCGAGAAGTCGTTTCAAGACAATAAAAAGTATAATATGTATGATAGTTGGCGATCGGAATGGAATGGTTACTATTATAATGGGTCTCACGCCAGCAGCAAATATGATGGCTATGACAGTACAACGAATTTATCAAGTCGTCATCATCCTGATTATGACACGAATTTCTAAAGTTGACGGTAATAAAATGAATTTTCTATCAACTCTATTCTTATTTAATTTATTGAGTGCCTTAAATATGTAAGTCATCAGATTCTATTATACTAATGTGTATAAATTTTTCGAACAACGAAAAGCAACATACACATTATGAAATATCTTATATTACTCTAAGGTATACTATATTTTTCTATAATATTTTATACAGTTGTTATCGAATATTGAGCAAACATTATCCTATGCTTTGTATCTGAAAATAGTTAGTATATGATACAATCATTTTTTTTACTGATTTTATTACAAGAATTTTATTATTTATTCTAGT